CCCTCAGCAGAGAAGCAAGGGAAGAAGCACAGCAGGAGAGGGTCCCCGAAAAATGGCCAGTTTCTGGACATGTGCTCTCCCATGGAGCCACATCTGAGCGCACAAGAGAAAGTTAGCTCTCCTCCCACGGCTACTGAGCTGGGTGTGTGAAATGGCGCTGCTCCTTGAACTTAGGTGCTAGATCAGTTTTATTTTAACAAATAAAGAAACCGAGAGCTTTCGGCCGCTCCTTGGCATGCCCTCCGTAACTCAGCTGCTCCAGGGCTGCGCGTGTGTTCCTGCCAGTGGTGTGAGAAGCAGGACCCCTGGGCGCCAAGCAGCCACCACTGCCCCGCCATCATCACCGACATTCACTCCTCCGGGAACCAGGCGCTCCCTCTGGTGTCCCAGGCATGGTTCCCGTAGGGTCACTTAGCATCTTCCCAGCTCTTTCTGATGAAGGTCTCCTTCTCTGTAGAGGCCTCCCCGCCTGGAAAGGGGTGTGTGTGTCAGGGAGCACGCTGCCTTATGTTTCTGCAGTGCTGGGCATCTGGCCTGCGCTGGGCACGTGCTCTCCCACGGAGCCCCATCTGCACCCCATCCGCAGCCCCACATCCTGCTGGGCATCTGGCCTGCGCTGGGCACGTGCTCTCCCACGGAGCAACATCTGAGCCACATCCCACGTCGCAGACTTTATCCTCCTGTCTATCTGCAGTGTCCTGTACGGTTCTCGCTGTATTACGTGTTCTCGAGTCTCAATTACATTTAAAGTAAGTTTCTGCCTCAATGAGTGAAACCCTTAGAGGAGACTAATTCCAATTCCACTGTCTCAGCCCAGGGATCCCAGGGCGAAAGTTGGGTCTTTGAATTCGTTGTTTTGCCTAAGCACAGTCCCCTACTGCCTGACCACACGACAGGAACTTCCAGAAATCCTTCTAAGGTACAGCGAGGCTGTTTGTCGTGTTATTAGAGGAGACACCCCAGCAGCAGGAACGGCTGTGAGTCTTCCCCACAGCACCCTGAATTCTCCCCACACCCCGTGCGGGGCGCTGAGTGAGGAGCCTTAGAGTCAGCGCTCCGGGACCACTGGCCTGGGCCTGGTGGGAGGCTGCACTGTCTTGGAAGATGACCCATGTGACAGCAGGAACCTCACCAGCAAGCAGCAGCCACAGGGGTCGGGGGTTTCTTCCTTGGAAGAAACCAAGGCTGATTCCTCTAGGATGATATACACCTGGCAAGAACTGAGCAAATCTGCATCTAATATACATCTGCACCTATTTTCTAAGACAAAGTTGAGCCTACAAAAGTCTGAAAGTAGCAAATATGTGGGCCAAGGGTCAGGGAACGGCCTGGCACTGTGCCCAGGACACCCTGTGTCACATGGTGCTGGCGACCTGGTCTGCGGTGAGGGCTACATGTCATAGAGCCGGAGCTGCTCCTGCACGTCGCCGTCGGACATCTCTCCAAACGTCTCCTTGTTGTCCTTCATGAGCTTGAAGATGGCAGCCAGCTGCTCTTTCTGAACTCTGTCGAGAAGAAAGGACAAGAGGAAAAAGATGCTTCCAACCCAGGAAGGGGTGAGAGACCACCAGGAGCAGCTGGTGGGGTGGGACTGACCTCGCCCGTTGGTTACTGCCTTTGCTTTTTCAGAATGAAAAAACTAAAACCAAACCCTCCTAAAACGCAGGAGCTGGCTTGCTCCAGCTGCTCCACGCAGGCCTTCTAGGTCTTAGGCTTGCTGCAGAGGTCTGGGGCCCCAAGTGTCACAGAGGTTCACCGTCCTCAGTGTCCCTGTGGTCCTCAATTTCTGGTTGACTGTGCAGCTCAAAAGAGAGGCAAGGAGGAAGAGAACCGCTCCATTAGGTAAAGAGAGCTTGGTTTGGGGGGAGCCAACAGAGAAGGAAGGAAGACAGCTGGTCGGGAAACGGGCACATCCAGATGTGCATGCAGGAGAGCTGGGCGGGGGCAGCAGCAGGGGCAGCTGACATCGTCCCTCGGGATTTCCCTACACAGGAAAGCGCTGCCTTGTCTTTTTATGACCTCCCTTTTCTGCCTTGCACAAGATGCCCTATGGCCTGCAGTGGCCCTGCCCCTCTTACCAGGGGAGGGCAGGGTGACGATTAGCCTCAGTGTTTGCAAGCCTTGCTGTTATCTTCTGAGGCTCGGCCACACATCTGACCAGCACGGGGCAACTCCCACGGCAAACACGAGGGCCGGTGAGGCTGAGCAGGGGCAGGGACCTCGGGGTTCTTGTTCTGCTGCCCTTGCCTGCCAGCATGGATGGCCACTGCAGCTTGGTTCTGTCTACTCCAGTTTCTGGCTTCTGCTGCCCCTGCCCTCCACACCACGGGCCCTGCTCCTTGAGAGGATGTACCCATACTTCAGGCCTGGACCTCCCAGCCCTGCCCTGGAAGGGTTCTGCTACAGTCCTATCGTGGGTCCACCAGGGTGCAGGCTTCAGCAAGCTTCCGGGCCACCAGCCTCCTGCAGAGTGGTCTCTGGACCTGGCCTTACACTTATAGAATACACTCCTTCTGCCATAACCCTGCCCTCCTCAGCCCTGTCTCTTCCCCTGAGCAGTTGGATGACCACAATCCCAAACCCCAGCCTCTTTTGTCTGGGAAATTTGCATCTCTAGTCAGTTCTGGGAAGGGGCCTATCATAGGGACTTTGTACACTTCTGCACAAGGAAAGAGGTGCCAGGCACTGACAGGGAGGGGGGCGGAGTGCCTTGGACGGTCAGTCAGATGTGGACATCTCCCCAAACCGACAAGAGTCAACTTCATGTAGCTTTGGTGGCTATGACGGTTGTGTTTTTAACAGGGTAAAGGCTTCAAAATGAAAGAGTTAAGATAACCAGTTCCAAAGAGATTATTTAGATTATGTTTTTAAAACAAAGCAAACCGAAAAAACACACAGTAACTGAGATCACATCCTCAAAGTTTATTGGGCTGGGTGAGGTCTGAGTTCAGAGAGCCAGGCTGTCGGGTGTTTGTCGGTGCTGCCTAGGAGCCAGTCCAGACAGGGCTGGGCACCTGTGCCTGGAGGAGTCCCTACTGAGTATCAGATACTGCCCTGTAGGGACTTGTGAGGCATCTTGCCCATGTCCATGGCTCTGTGCCGAAGGCACCAACTGTGGCTGTGGCTCTGTTGCTGTCCTGCACCTACGGTGGCAGGACAGGGAAGGCCATAGGAACGTACGCCCTGAAGCTGGGACTGGACGTTCCTGGCCTTCCACCCGTGGAAAGTTTTTCTGTAAAATGTCTTAGCCAACAAATCTAAGAACTGCAGATTAGTTTGTTATAGTATAAATATTGTCAAATATAAAATTCCAAGAAACTACCTTGGGACTGATCTAATTTTCTGGTAAAGTCTATCTGAAAACTAGGAAAAGGCATAGTCCAGAAGTCTATTTTAAGCTAACACAGTTATTATTGCTTCTGCCAAAGCACAAGTGGAGATTCTGCTGAGCTGGTAAGAACATCAGTAAAAAGGCCTCTTAGCAACAAGAGGGCTGGGCCAGGCCTTCCCCCGTTTGAAAAAGAAGGGCAGCCGGAAAGCCAGGGCCTGGCTCTCTGCACCTGGGGTCAACATGGCGTCTCTTACACCTGGCAGAGAACGAAGGACGTGGGCTCTGAGGGAAAGGGGCATGGTGGGCTGGGGAGCATAGGTGAGCTGGGCTCTGTCATCACTACTTAAAGTCTTTGGGGGTTTGGTTTCAACATGGATGAAAGGAGGAGGGCTGGGATAAACTAATTTAGAAATGTCCGAGCTGCTAAAATTGGTGGTATCATAAGTGTCAAAGGCATATAGCAAGTAAACTTGGGTAATAAGGTGTGAGCTCAATCTTTCAAAATCCCTTAGCTTCACAAAGTGACCACCATAAACGGGGAAAATCTCCAAACAGGGCAGAACCCAAGGAATTCCAAAGGACCCTGCCATAATCTGCCAAAGGCATTCCTGATTGGGGTTTATATCTCAGCAGAATTGTAGGCAGGTGACCCCAGAAGCCTGCATGGGCTTCTTTCTGGGGGTTTCCATGTTTATCTCTCAAGCTTTTAAGATGCCAAAAGGGAAAGCTTTCAGGAAGAGGCTAAGGATAACTTCATTATTCTTCAGTTCTGTAAAGAGAAATAGGGAGAAAAAGATAATGCATTTTACTCATTTCATTTTACAAGTACCAGGGAAAGGGGGACAGAGGGACAAGGAAGGAGAATGTTTGGAATTGCAGAAGGCATGTTAGACGCTGGTTTCTCAAACACCTGGTACTTTGCTTCTCATCAGTTGCAGCAAGATAGTCTGCAAGGTGGCCAGAGCTGGCAGAGCCCTGGTGGGTCCCCAAGAGAGCATGTTCTGCCTCTGCAAAGCCTAGAAAGCAGCTTGCTGATCTTTGTATGGGTAAGTGAGCACCTTCCTATTACCCCAGGGGATATCTTCCTGATAGCCACTGACTGTCCTTTCTTGGCCTGTTGGCACTCTAGGAAGTGCTTCCCCAGCAGGGCCACTTGGGAATGAGTTCGCAGAGCATCTGCAAGGGATCTGATTATGTGCCTTTGGCGCCATCTCCTGGTGATTGGAGTCTGTGCATCTCAGGCGGAAGTTGAAATTCACTCTTGAAATCCAAGTCTGTCCTTGGTCTCCTAGATGCTCCCAGGCACAAGAATCACAGTCCCACAGCCCTGGTTCCCCCACCACCTCTTCCACCTCCCCACTATGTCACATGATACCCCTCCTGTTTCCAGAAGATTCAGGATAGTCCTGCAGACAGACCTTCAGATGCAGGAGCATGGGGCCTGGGCCCATCTGTCAGTGCCAGCACCCTGAGTGCCTGGAACATATGAGCTGGGTTCCACTCTTCCCTGGGACTAGCAGGTGGGAAGAACTAGGAAAGAGCCGACAGCTGTGCTTGGTCTTTTTCCTGCCAAGTTACAAAGCCAGCCAAGTCTTGCGCTTCACCAGCTCTGGGGGTGAGGAGGAGGCCTCTTGCCCTGGGGAGCTGTCACCAGCCCGCAAGCCAACCTTCCTCCCAGCCACACTCTGAGCTGGAGGTGGCATCTCCCAGGAAGCTGTGGCTGGAACCAAGGAACACCCCCAGAGGCAGAGCCAAAGCCAGGAGAGCATGAGTATGTCCCACCTAGAGGGGACTGGAGATGAGCAGACAGGACAGCAGGGTCCAAGTCACAGCCACTCTGGATTTACAGACCCGACCACTGGCTGGCCCCTGGGTAGAGGGCGTTTTATTTGTGAGCAGTTTCAAGGGCACAGATGTCCAAGTAAGTGTCTGAGAACTCTCTTGGGCCCTCCTGCTCCTTGTCCTACTTGCCATGTCCTGAAATCCCGTGAGCATGCCAGAACCAGGGGAATGCCAGAAACAGGACCCGATACAGATTTAGGCTCTAGGTGCAGATATGGCAGCTGAGGTGAGGCAATTGAAGTCAGGGAGCTGCAGCATTTGCCTGTTAACCAGCTGCCCCTCTGCTGGGCACCCCGAGTGCCTGGAACATAATCAGAAGGAGGCACAGAGCCTGGTAGGGAAGAATTTGACAGGCGAGGAGAGCATCCTGCTTGCCAGCCTTGGTCTCAGCAGTTTGCCGATAGCATGAGTGTTATATTTCCTAGGACAATTCCAGGGCAGTTCCCTTGACTCGGCTGCCCCCAGGACTGTGTAGCAGCCACCAGCTCCCTCACCCCATGGGAGGTATCGTGCTGAAGATGAAAAGACAGAGCCAAATTGACCAGCCTCTGCAACCCCAAGCACCACCATGTGTGGAGCTGAAGTGGTGGGTGGCCCCAAGGGGGCCTGGGCAGCTGCGCACTGGGACCACATGCAGGGAGCAAGCGGATGCCGCAGGCATGCGAGCTGCAGGAAGCATGCGGGCAGGGGTGGGAATGGGGCCAACAGGACCTCCAGCTCGCCAGGACCTCCGCCAGCCCCTCCTCAACCCGGGCACAAAGTGGCGGCCGCATTGTGCAGATGAGGAGCCAGGGACCCTCCCTCAGCCCACGAGCAGCTCCTTGGCACAACGTTCAACCCACAGAAGAGCAGAGTCTGAATTGTGGAAAGCCCTGTTGGGAAATGTTGGGGGGGGGGGCTGCTCTCTTTGAAAATAGTTCAGAGATGATTCTCTCTCTGATTCTGAGGCCCCAGCTCCAAACACGGTGGCAGTGGCAGCCTGGCCCTGCCTGAGGCCTGTGGCCCACTCACTGAGCTCATGTCCCCACTGAGCATTGACCCGAGCACAGGCTACAGCTGTGGCTTTGTCTGTGGCATCCACAGAGGCCTTCAAGAGTGGCAGGGTGTCAAGCCCTCTCTTCCTGGGCCACGGGCTTCTCAGCTCTGCAAAGGAGAGCTCCAAAGCGGCTGCAGACCACGGAAAACACGTGGACACAGCCGAGTCCAATACCACTGGGCGTGTGTGGACAGGGAGTGGCCAGCTGCTGCCCTGGCTCTGAGGAGCACAGGCAAATCTGCACATGTCCAGCCAGCCTCAGGGTTCGCCTGAACCACGACACCCACGTCCCATAGCCACCAAGATCTCAACCTCACCAGGAGCACTAGGACCCCAATCAGCTGGCTCCTGGCCCCTCTGGGACTTAATTGGCCTCCAGAAACTTCTGCCCCTGGGAAAGGGGCCTTCTGTGCCTGCAGTTGCTTGGGCAAGACAAGAAGGAGGGCTCAGGGGGACAGGAAGGCGTCATTCAGTTATGAGGCAGCAGGGAGGGGGCTCAGACCAGTCAGTGGTGTTGGGGACACATCAGCAGACAGTGTGAGGGAGGCACCTAGTCTATGAAGTCATTCTCCTTACCAAAAGGATTTGCAAGAATATTTGTGGCTCAGGACTAGGGAACTTGCTACAGGGAAGTGAGGTCAGAGGTCAGCTCAATCCTGAAATATAAAGGCAGCAACGGGGTCAAGAGGCGGTCCTCAGTGCCCAAGGAGGAGTGGGGGGCTCCCAGGCGGCTCTCCCTCCCACCTGGGCCTGCATGGCCAGGCCCTCGCTCCCAGCGTCGGGGCCTTCCTGCCCAAGTGGGAGAGCAAACCTGCTGCTGGTGGAGGCCCGGCCCAGGAGCAGCCAGGGAGGGCGGAGTTCTGCTAGTTATGCTCACCAGAGGGCCCGGTCCCCCCAGTCCCCAGGCTCATAAAGGGAGCAGCTCATTAACCAAAGGGCTCGGAGGCGCCCTGCACGCAGGTGGCCGGTGGCAGCATGGCGTGGACAGAAAGCCTTGAGGGAAGCCCGGCGGGCGGTGGGGGTGCCCAGCCGCCTCCCTCAGCCGCATGCAGCAGAGCAGAGGAGGAGCACCAAGCAGCCGTCCTCGTGATGAATCGCGTCAGGGACAGCTGGGCATGCTCTGGGCATTTCCTGACATCTCATTTGTTCTTTCATGTGGTGGTGGGGAAGGAAGAAGAGAAGCCAAGGGGCTGCAGCCCTCCCCTTCCCACCAGGCTGAAAACTACCAAGACCGGAAAGACCCCCAAACTAAGAGGGGAGGGGCTCCGCGGGGCGTGGCTCGGGTCCGGGAGCCTCCCCAGGGCCAGCCGGGAGGCCCTCGCCTACCTCTGCTCCTCCTCCAGCTCTTCTTTGGTCATCATCTTCTTGTACTGGTTTCCTCTCAGCTGCCCAGGGCTGTACTTAAAGGAGAAGGTCTCTCCTGTGGGGATGAGGGGCACTGATAAGAGCCTGGTGGGTCCAAGGAGGCCCCAGCCCAGGCTGTTCCCCCACTTATTGGTTTGAGAAGCCACACTTCAGTCAGAGAAGCCCGTTAAAGAGGGGCGTCGTGCACAAGCCCCGGCCAGCCCAGTCTCAGGGTGGACACTCAGCAACACTGTCCCCTCTCCCCAGCACCCACACTTAAGCCCATCTCACTCCTCCATGGAATCCTGCCACCTCGCCCTGGAAATGGGGACAAGATGAAAACAGAACAGCCCGGTGGAGCCAGCCACTGGGCTGTGTCTGTCCCTCTCTGGCGAACAGTTCCTGCCAAGCCGCCCACTGCGAGGCTTTCCCTCAACCTCATCTCCAGCCCAGGGACGCTGCCCAGCCATCAGGCAGCAGCTGCTGACAGGAAGCAGCGGTGCCAGGTGGGCCGCGGGGACCTGCCCTCCTGGGCTTGGGAGTGCCAGCCAAGCACGTTCTCCCAGCCCTCCCCCACGTTATTAGAGACCTAGAAACACAACTGGCCCCCGAGGCGGTGATGTGGGGCAGCTGTGTCTGGAAGGGCACACGCGCAGCTGCCTGCAGACAAGGGCAGCCATCCAGGTCTGGGGCACAGGGTCTGGACATGTGACGTGGGGTGAAGGCAGGCTCGAGGAGGCGAGGGTGCAGCAAGAGAGGAAAGCTAAGTATCCTATGGAGGAGGCTGCCTGGACCCCAGACTGACTGGAGGACTGGGGCGGCCCGGGGTTGTCACCTCTAATTTCCATCAACACCTAAAGGACTGGGTGGGGGAGCAGCTCGCAGAGGCTCCTCTCCCCAGCTGCTGCTCTACAAGTGTGTCCCGCTGTCCCTGCAATGTCAGGTGGTTCCTCTTCTGTCCCACAGCAGGACAACCCAGGTCACTGCTGTCTCTTCCCAGTGGTGGCCGGCATATGTCAGCAGGTGGGTGGATGTGGGCACAAGGGAAGGAAAGGCTCTCGGATTAGGGCGCCCTCTGGGCGGAGAGAAGAAAGTTCTGGATGTCGGTCCAGGCCCTGAGCTCTCTGCAGAGCTATTTCCTTCATCAAACCCTGGCCCAGGAGGAGAGGCCGGGGGCTCCTGTGAGACACCCCTGCCCCCGCCGGCTGCCCAGGGCAGGTGCTTTCCTCAGGGAGCAGTCGCTACCTGTGTACAAGGATTACTTTGCTCTTCACTCCGTCCACAGATACTCAAAGAGCACAATTGCGGGTGCTGGGGAGACCGCAGAGACAGCAAACAAATACATGTAATTAAAAGACATGATTTAGCTGGACGCCAAGGCCCACACCTGTGATCCCAGCAGCTCGGGAGGCCGAGGCAGGAGGGTCATGAGTTCAAAGCCAGCCTCAGCAACTCAGCGAGGCCCTAAGCAACTCTGGGAGACCCCGTCTTGAAATAAAAAATAAAAGGGCTGGGGGTGTGGCTCAGTAGTTAAGCAGCCCTGGGTTCAACCCCTGGATGAAAACAATTTTTTTGCAGTTGGTCCCAAATGCTCTGCAGAGGACAACATAGGTGGGGAGGGCTAATCAGGCGAGGCTGGGAGAGGGCGCTGGGGGTGTGTGGTGGAGACGGCCCAGGAGTCTGCCTGGAGGACCTGACAAAGCATGGTGGCAGGAGCAAAAGGTGGGAGGACGACACGGGAGGCTGGGTGTGTGGGAGAGGCAAGGAGGTGGGGTGAGCTGGGGCCAGGTTTCCCGGGAACCCAGCTGCAGCTGCAGACGGAACTTGTCACCAACCCTCAGTGTGAACCCAGAAGAGGCAACTGATAAAACCAGTGAACCTCAACACAACTGGTTGCTGTTTTAGAAAACCAAAACGCGAGGCAGCTGCCAGCCTGTCGCTCCTGTAGGGTCGGTTGGCCTTGCTGGCAGGTCTGATTGGCTCCACTTTTACTTAGCCACACAGAACAATCGACTTGAAATCACAAAAAGGGACGAGCCACACACAGCTGCATCTGATTCGGTGAGATCAGGAGGGCTGGATGTGGAAGGCCCAGGGAGGGCCGGGGGGGCCTGTCTTCCAGTCTGTTGGAATCCCTGAGTTGCTTAGGAAGCCATTTTAGCGACACTAACCAATCAGCCCAGGAGCTGAGCTGCTGGCTGCAGAGGGGCTGGGTGTCCACCCGAGCTTCCTGACAGCGGGCGGCCAGCCCCCTCCCTCTGCCATGGGGACAGGGGCTAGCCAGGGACAGCAGCTCAGATAAGGAGGGAGGGCTCAGGGACAAATACGGTGAGCTTGTGTGTGAGGTGGCCTGCCAGGCCTCCCCCTGTGCACGCCCAAGGGCCTGTGTCCCCAAATCACTAACAATCCTGGTCCCACACGGAGAGCCCCAGTTGCAGCGGGTCCCTGATTGGAGATGATACAGAAGGACCCACATCCGAGAAGGAGGTCCTCCCTGGTGGGGACAGAGGTCCCCCGCCCACTGCCAAATGCTCACTGAGCCCCACATTCCTGAACCCCCTCTTTCCACCGCTCCCACTAGCGGGGGAGACACAGCCAGTTTCGCTGTTTAAAATGATAAAATATCGAAAACACAGAAAAGCAACAGGGCCTCCGGGCTCCTGCTCGCTGTGCAGGTGTAGCAAGTGCTGACATTTTGCTGTCTGTGCTCAGCTTCTTTTGGAAAGAAACGCAATGTGGCCGATCAGCAGGGTCCCCACGCACTTGGCTCTGACTGTCCACGGCAGGGAGTGGCATGGCCGGGAGGCCAGGGAGCCCCAGCCACTAAGAGGCGGGGGTCCCTCCCGTGCCTTCTGCCTGCAGAAGGGCAGCCTGTGAGTGGTTTCTGTCTTGACAAAATGGGTCAGATATACTTGGAGAGAAAGGGGACATACTGAGCCTGCTCGTGAGAGGCAGGGGAGATGGTAGAGGCTTGCCAGGCTGTGCAAGGTCCTGGGTTCTATCCCCAACACCACAAAAACAAAACCAAACAAAACAGCATTATAGAGTCAGCTGGGTGAGGTGGTACACACCTGAAATCCCAGTGGCTCTGGAGGCTGAGGCAGGAGGATCACAAATTTGAGGCCAGCCTCAGCAACTTAGCAGAGCTGTAAGCAACTTATTGAGACACCCATCTCAAAAAATAAAAAGGGCTGGGGATGTGGCTCAGTGGTAAAGTGCCCCGGGGTTCAGTCCCCAGTGCTAAGAACAAAAACAGGCAGGACAGAAGCCAGGGCCTCCTGGACCCACACACACTCATATTATAGACAGGAGGTGGTGGCGGGGGGGCAGGGCTTTGGCCAGGCCATCGTTCCCAGGCACCCCCTCCTCAGACCCCCAGCGCTGGGTACCCACAGCACGGCCTGGACCTAATCGGGCCCTGCAGGAGGGGCAGAGGCTGCAGCTCAAGGGAGTCCCACTCACCGTCCTCGTCCTCAGGCCCTGCTGGGGGAGGGTCCTTCTCACTGTCCGAGTGCTGCTCCTCCTCCTGCAAGACAAGGGCAGGGGCCAGTGCCACAGGCAGAGAAGGGGCTATGGCCAGCTCTTGGGGTGTGTGAACACTCTCAAGAGACGAGTGACCTGGTGGATGGGGCCAGATGGCCGCCTTGGGAAATGGTGGCAGTGGGTGGACAGAAGATGGGGGAAGGGGCTCTAGGTCCAGTGTAACCAGGTCCAGCAGTCGCGCCTATCCTGCAGCCAGGTCCCCTGAGCCCAGGAACAGGGCTCCTTTAACCTGTGCACCTCAGGCCCTTGACCTTCCCCAGGTGCTTGTCTGGGAACTGGAGGCCATTTTGCTGAGTGGGCCTGGGACCCCCATCCCCCACGGCAGTGAGCAAATTAGAGGCACAAGAGCCACCCTGGCCAGGCCAGGGCAGGGCCTTGGCGCAGCTGCGTGGGAAATCGCAGGCCCCGCCCTCCAGGCCACCTTCTGGGCCTGGCCGTCTCCATGTCCACTTTCCCAAAACGGGAGCTCCGCCTCCTCAGCTCCGGGTCTCTCCCACACAGAGAAGGCAGGAGGCATGTCTGTCCCGGGCGGCCTCTGTGGGAGGAAGGAGTGACTTCAACTTGCAGGAATGTTGGAGGATGACAGGGACATACCATGGGCCAGGGGGCAGGAGGGAGCTGGAAGCCCAGAGGGCGAATGTGGAACAGCACAGGTCTGAGAGCAGAGTGGACAGTGGACAGGCATGAGCTGCCCAGCAGTGAAGAGCAGGCTGCAGCCCGGGGGGAGACACCCCCAAAACACAGCTGAGCTGGGGGGCAAGCTTTCACAAGCCCCTGGTGGTCAGAAGTGGCCAGCACCAGGGCCTGAGCGCCTGCCTGGGGGCACTGTCTCTTCCACTCAACAGTGTGCCCAGGGCCACCTAGGTGCCACCAGACTGCCCCCTGCACAGGTAGGGACGTGTCCAGGCTGTCCAAAGACCTCCTGAACTCTGCAAAGGGAGTGTCTCCGTGGCTGGGGTTAGGTAGGCAGGCCTCTCCAGGCGCCAGGGATGGGAACCCCCCTGGATGCAGCACCCCATTTCTGAGGGTCTGCCCTCTGGACGGGACTTCCATCCCGTGATGCCGTGCCCAGCAAAACAGGCCATACCATAGCTGGAGAGAGCAACGGTTCACCCACTGAGTCTAGCTGGGTGAGCTGGTGCCCGTGGTCACCAGATGCTAACTGTTCCCCGTCTTGCAGGGCGTGCGGGCCCGGGGCACTGGCAGCACTCACGGGGAACAGCGTGTTAGGGAGAGAGCAAGCAGCAACGCCAGGCCAGCAGCCCTCGGGGCGTGTGTGTTAGGGTGCTGCTGCTCCTAAGTGCAGAGGGGGAGCTTCTGGAAGCCGCCGTCACCTCAGGGAGCAGAGCTGGGGCGGGCTGCCTTCCTTTCAACCTTTACATTTCAGAGTAATTTGAATTTTCTAATTATGTGCATGAGTTACTCCGTGCATCTTAACAATGCTAACGGGGAATCTGGGCAGCGAGATTGGGGCTGTTTTTTTATATGCCTATCTTTTCCAACAGAGCAGGCAGGGATGCGACTGTAACATGGTAAAAAGCAGGTTTGCTCTGTGCCCCAGCTCCTGACACTCTGCTCCGAAGCCCTGACCATCTGAGTAACAGAAGCAGCTCTGTCCTAACGTTTGGTCTTGGGCCCCAGCTCCTGATGTAGTGCCCTACATCCCTGGGAGACCCCTGGACGGGACTGCTCTCCAGGAAGACAGAGCCACAGTGGGACACTTGGAGCCCTCGGCCCCCACTTTTCCTGAGGCAGGTGGAGGAGTGATGGGCCTTGCCTGTGTGGGGAGAGCGAAGTCCCTAACATCTGGGGCGTTCTGGGCTCCTGGACGTCCACGTGGGGAGGAAGGCCCAGCCCAGCTCCACAGGGACGGGGCTGCTGTGCTAGGCACCTTTGGGGCCTCGCCCTCTGTGCCTCCTTCTGGCGGTTCATCTGTCCCTGTACCTTTATCATAAACCCTCCAACATGAGGTGCTTCCCAGAGGCTGTGCCCGGCTCAGCAGACCACCCAACCCGAGGAGGGGGTCTCGGATGCCCTGATTTACAGCCAAGTTGGAGGAAGTGTGGGTCTCCCACTTGTGCTTCGCAACCGGCATCTTGAAGGTCTGAGGCCACCTGCAGGGTCTGCCCAGCCCCACATGGGGAGTGCCGGGAGCTTAACTGTAGGACGTCCAGTTGGCGCCAGGACAGTTGCAGAAGCGGCTGTCACAGGCGAAGTGCCTGTGAAGGGCTGCGTGAGCACGAGGTAGGCAGCTGTCCCCCCGACACTGACACGATGCCTTCTTTTTTTGGGGGGTGGGGAGGCTACTGGGGATTGAACTCAGGGGCACTGGGCCACCAAGCCACATCTCCAGCCCTATTTTGTATTTTATTTAGACGCAGATCCCCTCTGTCTCAGCCTCCCTAGCTGCTGGGATTACAGGCGTGTGCCCCACTCCCAGCCTTGGATGCCTTCTTCAATGACAGACAGACGTTAGCCTAGTTGGGGAGGGCCCCAAAAGGAGGATAGAGAGGAGGCCAATTCTCCTATTAGGTGCCAGGGACACAAAGATGAAAAGAAAAATAAGAAACAACGAGCACAGGTCCTGTCCTTAGGGTGCTCTGGGCCCACGGGAAAGGCCTGTGAAGAGGCAGCTGAAGCCCGAGAATGAGAGTGATCCCAGAGGGCCTGGGGGTGCCGCCTTCCGTCCTGCAGTGACGGGGGTTTGGGGAGGGTGAGCAAACGGCACTCTTTGGAGGCACCCCAGGGCCTCATAGAGGAGCCAGGCTCTGCACTCCAGCACTTACCTAGGCTTTTAGAGAACACAGAAACAGTGATAGGGTTCCTTTTGTGCGTGTGTGGGGTGCTGGTGATGGCGCCCAGGCCTCAGGCATGCTGAGCGTGTGCCCTACCACCGGACTATACCCCCAGTCCCCCTTATTCTTTTTCACAAAACAAAACACCCCTCCCTATTGCATCTGGCTCTTATTTTATAAAAATGTGTGCACAACAGAAAAATGGAAGGCTGACCCAGAAAAAAGAAGTGGAGGTCTCAGAAGCAGCACAGTTAAGACCAAGATGAAGACCCCTCAGGAAGGGGGGCGCACCAGCCTCGGGCCAGAGCTGTGCGCTGTGACGGGGACGTCTGAGGGAGGCCCAAGGAGCAGTTCCTGGGGACTGCACTCTCTCCTTCCTTACAGAAGGTCCCGGGGCACGCTGAGTCTTGCAGACTGTGTTCAGGACTCTGCGAGGCATTGAGGTGACACTGTGAGGAAGGGGCTCAGCTGGGCCTGCAGAGAGCAAGGACAGTTCAGAGGGGGGCGGCACTCTGATGGGGTCTGAGACAGGGGTGCTGACAGCTGTCCTAGGAAGGGGACTCCGGGCAGAGGGCACAGCCAGGCAAAGGCTCGGAGGCCCAGAGTCCAGGGTTTTCCAGCTACTGCATGAGCCTGGCCTGACTGCAGGGAGGTGGGTGGCACGAAAGGGTCAGAAACCAGGGGACAGACATGCGGGGCTTGTGCCACAGAGTTCTCAGGTGGCACAGAAAAAGGTTCAGGTTTCTTCCTTCGGGAAGCCCGGAGCCTCCCGAGCTTTTCAACAGGGAGAAGCAGGAGGAGAGTTGCGTTTGGAGCCAGGCGTTGGGGGGGGGGCATGGGGGGGCAAGATGAGGGCAGGAGGAGCCAGAAGAGGCTCCAAGCTCAAGCTGGAGCTGAGTCACAGGCTGCCCAGCCTTCAGAGCCGGATGGCCGCAGCAGGAGAGCCCCAGGTGCCTCTGGGTCTGAGGCGTCTCCTGGAGGCAGCAGGATCTCTGAGAGGGGTCACTCTGGGGCCTTCAAGGAAGCAGGAGGGAGCAGCTGCTCAGGTGCTAACTGTGAAGCTCTCAAAAGGCCACTGGCTCTTGTTTTTATTTTTTTGAGACGGGGTCTCGCTGTGTCACCCAGGCTGGCTTTTAACTCCTGGACTCCCACCTCCTGAGTACCTGGGGCAGCAGATGTGGGCACTCTGCCAGCTCCCAGCAGTGACTTCTCCTCGATGCCCACGTGTCATGGGCTGAACCGTGCCCGCCTCACTCCCACTCATATGTCAAGGCTTAACCCCAAGTGCCTCGGCCTGACAGCGGAGCTGGGCCTCCATCTGCAGGGCCCCATCTGCCAATTCACATCAACCGTGGATTAAAAATATTTGGGGAAAAATTGTGCTTGTATTGGACACATACGGACGTTATTCACTAAATAATAAGTGTAACAACTATTTACACAACATTTACATTGCATTAGGGATTATAAGTCATCCAGAACCAGGTGCAGAGACCCATGCCTGTAGTCCCAGCCTCTCCAGAGGCGAAGGCCGGAGGATCACAAGTTCCAGGTCAGCCTTGGCAACTTAGTGAGACCCTGTTTCAGAATAAAACATTAAAAAAGGTTGGGAATGTAGCTCAGAGGTGGAACAAGCCTGGATTCAATCCCCTATACCACAAGAAAATGAATTAATTACCAAAATAAAATCATTTTTAAAAAGTGATGCGTTGGGTGTGGTGGCACAGGCCTGCAATCCCAGCAATCTGGAAGGCTGAGGTAGGAGGATGGCCAAGTTCAAAGCCAGTCTCAGCAAATTAATGAGGCCCCAAACAACTTGGCAAGACCCTGTCTCAAAAATAAAAATAAAAGGGCTGGGGATGGTTCCATGGCTAAGAGTCCCTGGTTTCAATCTCTGACACTAAAAAAATTTAAAAAAAAAATCTACAGTTGGCCTAAAATAGACAAGAAGAGGTTTGCACGGCATACGCAAGTACTATGCCATTGGTATAAGTGACCTGGGCATCTGCAGGTTCTAGTGTGGGCCAGGCCCAGCACAATCGCCCGAGATACTGAAGGATGCATTTAGGGACAGAACCTTTAACAAGTGATGAAATGAGGCCACTAGGGGGTCCCTAATCCAGGAGTGCTGTCCTTATAGGAGGAAATCTGAACAGGGAGAGAAACCAGGAATGTGCACAGACCAAAGACCCTGTGAGAACACGGGTGGGGGGGTGTGAGGGAAGAGAGGAAGGAGCTATCCGGAAGCCAAGCAGAGGCCTTGGGAGGAACCAGCTGCCACACCTTGAACTTGCACTTCCGTGCTGTGGGCCCGTGAGAAATGACGTTCCTGTCAAGCTCCTGGTCTGGAGTATTCTGCTGCAGGAGCCCTGGCAAATGAAGACATCATGCTTCTAGGGCAAGTAGATCAACTTCATGAAGACTGTGAATGAGTGGCCCCCACCGAGACAGACAGCTGACACCATCCTGGCTGGTCCCCAAAGTTGGCCCAGCTGACCCCACACCAATCTCCACATGGTCCAGTCTCGTACTGTGTTACTGAATAGAGAGCAAGTCTTGACTTACGTTCTGGAATAACTTTCCAATTCAGCTTTTTCTTCCGGTGGGGGCAGGAGAGGCAAAGCAAAGGGAAGTCCCTCCCCATGGCCTCTCTGTGGCCAGGAGCCCCAGCCAACTCCCCAGGGGCCGAGGGCAGAGAGAGTGGCCGAGGGGACAGGCAGGTTCTGGGGCTCAGTTGAGAGGCTTCTCACCACTGAAAGCCAGACTCCTGTGCAGCGGGGTGTTGCCGTTTATGGCTACCTGGGCTGACCCCAGGGGGCGGGAGGCTTGCAAGTGAAGAGAGATGAGGGACATATGTTGAGGTGACAGGGAGATGCAATTGAGACTGTCTGTCTGCTGCCAGGGGAGATGGCTGGGCTCCTGCAAACAGGATCCGCTGGGGCAGCCCCAGAGCTGCCTCCTGCTGTGACAGTACCAACGGGGCTGGGTATCTGGATGATTTTAAAGGACAGAGCCCCACTAGGCGGGGGGAGTGGGAGGCTGTTCCCCACTCTAGAAGAATGGGCAAGGCAGGTGGGAAGGCGGAGATGCATTCTCATCTTCCACCATGGGGGGCGCCATGGGACTGGCCAGCGAGCTCGGGCTTAGGCTGCTTCTTTGAACCATGGCGTGGGGCCAGGATCTGTCCTTTGCAGCTCACCTGAGGGCCTTGAGGACCCTGAGGGTGGGGAGCAAGGTCACAGGACCTGACATGGAGGGCTTTTAGCTTAAGAGTCTGCAGGAACACAGCAAGGAGAAGGGGAGGAGCAGGAGAGGCTGGCTCTGCTTTAGCTCTGCCTGCGGAGTTTCCCTGTAAGGTTAAGGAAGGAAAAGGCATCCAGCACTTTAGAAAATGTTATAAAATCACTGATCTCGTGTGGCTTCCACCTCAAGGCAAGCACATGCTGGTGAAGAGACCCTGATGAACTGCCGACCGTCCAGTTTCTGAACCCCAGTAGCACAGGGGACCTCGTGACCTCGCGTCCTGAACAGGCTGCCTCTCTGGGCTAGGCACCGTGGGCAGGCTCCCAGGGGAGCTAGACCAAGAGCAGGAAGACAAAGGCCTCCTTCCTGCCACCCAGGGCGGAGACAAGGAGACAGAGGTTTCTTGTGTTTCTTTTTGTGGTTTTTGCTGCCTGTTCATTCAACAAGAACTTATTCGGTGCCCACTGTGTGTTGGGTACCTAGGGATGCAGTGGTGACTGGCGGGTGAGGCCCGAGCTCTGGAGCAGACATTGCACAGCAGCAGACAATGTGCACCAAAATAAAGATGACCTCACCCTGGATTAAGTGCCACCAAGAAGGCCAAGTAGGATACTGCGCTGGAGAGCGAGGGAGGAGGGGGTGGGGCGACTGTCCATCTGCCAGCGTGGCCAAGGACATGGAGATGTGCCAGGTGAGCAGGACTCCTGTGAAGAACCGGGCTGGAGCCAGCAGACCCCTGAGGGTCTGGACGTGGGCGCCAGCTGAGCGCCAGGAACGGGGCTGCGGCTGCATTAGCAGAAGAGGCGAGGGCTGGGAGCAGAGGGGGGCGAGGAACTGTGTGCAGGGGAAGCCAAGCAGGGCTTTCAGCTGGCAGCTGGGATGTCATTTCTGGGGTGGGGGCAGGGGCAGCCAGGTAGAAGGAAGCCTGGGGGGAGGACACTGGACAGCCCAGGGAGCCTGGGCCTGGAGTGGCAGCCAGCAAGGAGAGCTGGGCTCCAGAGACCCCTGACAGGCAACAGATGGGACCTGAGATGGAATGGCTGTGGGTGGGGGGAGG